CTCAATCTCTTGTTCGACTCCGAAAATCCATGGCTGACGAAAGTGGAGTCCATCATCCTAGCAAAAAAAAATAAAAAAACGAGCAACATCCATTATAGTTATACCTAGTATTCCAAGTTTTACACCCGAAGAACATCTAAATAGTTTAACCTAGTTCTACTAGTTTTACCCAGAAAAAAAACCCAGATCTGAAATTATAGAGATTATACCTTAAATTTGGTGCAGGTGGAAGTACCTACTGCCTGGTTGAGTATCGAAATCATGTTTAAATTTTGGAGAAAGAGATACATCGCGCTTGATAGATCCACCACATGGGCATCTTCTTGGAATCCCATATTGGCCGTCGGCGACGAATCCAACCATGTCCCAATGCTACTTCATCTTCTCTATTTCCTTGCGGCGCGTCTTCTCTTTCTTCAACTCCTCTTCGTATGGGTCGATGAGGAAAATGTCCGTGTAGTGATAGCTACAATCCGAATCCATTTGTAGAGAGAGATGAGAGATCAATTTTAAGAGAGAGAGAGATCGACTAACCCTAAACCGAGCAAAGGTAAAGGAGAGGAAGAAGGAGAGGCCAAAAAAAGTTTGGAGGAAGAAAAGGGATCGCGAAGAAGAAGGAGGATGAGATCCGAGAGAGAGAGAGAGAGAGAGAGAGAGAGAGAGAGAGAGAGAGAGAGAGAGAGAGAGAGAGAGAGAGAGAGAGAGAGAGAAGGGAGGAGGAAACTTGAATTTGAGAAGTGAAAGAAATCCCTAGGACCCCGATTTCTACAATTTACCCTAAACCGGGAAAAACCGTCCTGAATTTCCAAAACTTTCTCGCTCCTACCACGTTTGCCACCAAAATAACACGTGCGCCGTTTGTTGCTTACGTGGACACCGTCAAAATTACACTTAGTAATCCATAGTTTTTTAGTTATACGATTTTCAAATAGTTGTACTTTTGGGTGTTTTTAAATTTATATAGTTATACTCCGCAATAAATTTCCTGTTTGTAGTTTTACAGATGATTTTAGTCATTCTGTTGTTAAGCCTGAGGGTATTATGCATTAAAAATGTTTTAAAACTCATCGTATCTGTCTATGGCTTCATATGGTGGTTAGTATTTAGAAAGTGTTCATAGAAGTGTATGGTGTTTGTTGGGTAAATGTTTTTTATTTGATTGTTTCATATTGAATGTAAGTTTTCCTAATAATTTAAAAAATAAAATATAACTCTAAATAAATTAATACAAGATTTTTTCATATCGAATGTTCGAAATTCAATCAAAAACAAACCGACTCTTGAATACAATAAAAAAACCGTCTTAAATACTATCAGTTGCACCAATTGTTCCAAGTGTTATGAATACACAAAATAAACATAAACGAGCTACACAGTTTGACCAGCATCACCAGCCTCACTATTACCACTAAAGAAATATGACCACATCCCTCTTCTTCCTTTTCCCCTTCCTCTTCCTCTCCCTCTCCCTCTTCCTTGGTGTTCTCCAGCTGATGGGAACCGGTTTTCTTGAGGTCTTCCTTCCTTTGCGACATAATCTGGTGGTATGACAACCAGGTTTTGTATATGCTCAGGAATAATCCAATCAGACCTGTGTGGTACTGGATAAATCGTCCTGCAATACGCTAATGTCCATAGCTCCATCTAATAATATTTTGAGCAAAACTCTTGTAGATGAAGTTCCCGGCCTCCACTCATAAAGATGGCAGCAACTATTGCATGCACACATGGGTATCTATCTATATCAAATGACTTGCAACTACAGCTTTCCCTTTTCATATCAACCAAATAGCACTTGCCGTCTTTTCCAATGACACTGAATTCAAGGAAGAAGGCGTTCAACTTATGCACCGTTAATTTCTTTGCTTCCGGTGATCTTTTATGAAGTTCTTTCTCCATATAAGGCACAAGCTTCTGGGTGCTTGATACTTTAGAAGAACTGTTCCTATGCTTGTTAAACCATTCAGCCAGCTTATCAACAATCACATCAATCATTGGTAATAGAGCGTACTTCCTTGCTTTCATAAGAACACTATTAATAGATTCTACAATATTGGAGGTGTCTATATTGTACCTTTCTCCTGGAAAATAGCATCTTGCCCATTTGTCCACAGGAACACTACCATCGAGATACTGGGCTGCGGAAGGATACTTGGTTCTAAAAGCATCAAAAAGTGTCAGGAACTCACTCTCTGTATACGCATGAGCGCATTCTTTGAACTTCATAACGCATATATCTTTGTTGACGTAGTAGACATTTGCTTTTACATTTTGAGATGAATGTTGAATACAATACCCATGCTGAGACAACGGAAACACCACCTGCACAGACTTGATGAGGCTGGAGTTTCTATCAGAAAGAAACACCAATTCAGGATCATCCGGTATCACTGATTTCAACATGTTCATAAACCACATCCAACTAGCATCTTTCTCACCATCAACTACACCAAACGCAATTGGATAATGGTGATGATTAGGATCTTGAGCTGTAGCAACTAACAAAACACCACCATATCCAGTCTTAAGGTGGGTTCCATCCACAACAATGACTTTTCTCATGGCTTGGAATCCCTCAATGCTAGCTCCTAACACAAAGAATATGTACTTGAACTTTTTGTTTTCGTCCAATTCCACATAAGTCCGTGTACCAGGACTCATCGACTCCAGCATATATATATAGGAATACACCAACTGGTAACTCTCGGCTGGACTTCCCCGCACATCATTTACAGCTTGTTTTTCCCCCTCAAAGCAGTAGAGTGTGATACTTTTACCCCAAGTCGTCCTTGAACCATATCGATCAGATGTTTTGGAGTTGGAGTGTCAAATTTACCCGGATAATCTTCATGCACAACAGATGCAACCAATCCTGGTGTCCCTTTCCTTTTATTCCTGACTGTAACTGCAGAAGCTCGAGAGCATGTATGCATCTTGTTGTAAGTTCTTACCGAGAAACAATCTGATTCCATCAACTTTGCAGCTCGTAAAGACCACTTGCGACCATTTTTTGCTTCGCGACATTTCACCACGTATCGCTTTTTGTCAGACTTGATTGTATCAACCTCAAAACAATTCTGATGTGAGCCTACATGAACTAAATCTTGCACTGTCTTCTTACTTCTAAATTTTTGACCTACAATCATTTCAATACCATCTTCCCAGCCATTATTTACTGCTACTTCTCCTATAGCAGGTCCATACTCAGTATCATCAACCTCTTCCCTGGACACATTTCTTTGTTCTGCTTGATGGCGTTCTGATGGTTCACCTCCATGAAGAGTAATTATACCAGCATTAACATCTATACCACTTGAAAACACCTGCTCATTACTTAGACCATTTACACTTTCGCGATCCTCTCTTGAAGGTCGCACAACACCCTGATCGACATCTTCCACGATCTCCACGTGCAAAACACTTCTACATGTATCATTTTTCACTTGCATCAGGTAGCCAAAAACATTCTCATCATTCCAGATATATGATGGCTTAAGATCCACTACCAATGGAAAGTTACTAACTTTCAGCTGCGTATTAGCTTCATATATCTTCATCTTCCTGCATATTCCACTGATCAACTCATCATGAGTTACCTCCTCAACAGACGTCTTCATCACTAAGGTGTGAATTTCATCTTCTCTTGATACCCATCTTATGACATCACCTTCCTTTGAATAAGATCCCCCATAATCGAAGCATATAATAGTGCAACGACTTATATTCATTGTCCCCTGAACAACAATAACAAATATCATTAGTATATGTCTCAATCATATCAGTTCTCTCACTAATACAAGCAGTAATACTAGTCCTAGTCTAGTTATACCCAGTTGTTCCCGTAATACTACTTCTATCAGTATTACCTGATGTCTTAGTAATACCAGTTGGTCCAATAGTACGCTGTTCGTGTACCCAGAAAATTTATATTTATCTACGAATCTCCAACGATTTACTACGAATCATGATGATTTGATGTTCATTTAACGATTATAACTGCTCCTATTTACCATCTACAACCCTTAGCAAAGAATTTCAATTATTCATTCATCCACAAAAATTTCAGAACAATGGTGCCATCAGAAGACCAAGAGCAACAATGTGTAGCACTCTCTATTATTCTAAGATTCATAGCGTATGTAAAGGAGATAATGCGGCAACAGACTCACCTTATAAAGTTCTCATACAGCTTCAAGATGGAGAATGTTGGGTTTTGGGAAACAGGAGGAATGAAGAATCCGCCAACCAGCGAAAGCCATGAAAAAGATGAAGATGTGGGGCCCGTCGATAGTTGAGATTTAGTTGAGAATTTAATTATAATATTATAAATTTGTTTTTCTTTTTATTTATTTTATTAATTTTTGGATATTATTATTTTATTGAAGAAGGGTGAGGGCAAAATAGAAAGAAGAATAAGGGGAGGGCATTGAGATTAAGAGAGGGGTAATCAGATTATTTTCAAATACTTAAGGACATATTGGCTCTTTGTCCGAGGAGAAGAGGAATCAGACAAGTGATGTGGAGGAGATGACGAATCAGAGAGGATCCGTGCAGAGGAGAAGAGGAATTGGAGAGGAGCAAAAGAAGAGAGACAGAGAAGTATCAGAATCGAAACATAATGAATATTAGAAACGAATTGGAGAGAAACCGATGCGGAGGAGAAGGAGCAAGAAGAGGAATCGGAATTTATCTCTCATGGTATCTGAGATTTCACGCTGTCTTAGGAATAGTCGAACTCCGATTTATAGTTTGTGAAAATCAGACGATTCCAGACTAAAATTTGAATTTAGACAAAACCCGAATAGATTTATAATTATTTAGATATTTGAAGAATAAAATTGAATTTACACATTTTTTTATTATAAAAATAAATCATAAAGAAATTATATTTTATAATGGTGGCATATGAGATTGTATTTTGAGAATGGCATTTCAGCCATTGATTCCTTTCTTCTTCATCACTGTCAGATCGACGATCACACCTGTAACTATACAAATCAATGGCGTCTACTCTTCTCTGGACTCTCTTCCTCTTCGCCATCATCTTCTCGCTTCAATCCCACGGAGAAGAAGAAGATACGCCGATCACTCGATTCCAGCAATACCTGAGATTCATAACTGCTCATCCAAATCCTAACTACGCCGCCCCGGTCTCTTTTCTCGTTGATCAAGCTAAATCAATCGGTCTCACAACTCAAACAATCGAATTCGTCTCAGGAAAGCCAGTTCTTCTCGTCACATGGCTCGGCTCGAATCCTAAGCTTCCTTCGATTCTCTTCAACTCTCATCTCGATTCCGTTCCTGCGGAAGCCGAGAAATGGATCCATCCGCCGTTCTCGGCTCACCGGACCGCCGATGGTCATATATACGCTCGAGGCGCGCAGGACGATAAGTGTATCGGAGTTCAGTACCTGGAATCAATCAGGAATTTGAAATCGAGAGGCTTCTCTCCTCTTCGTACTGTTCACATCTCTTACGTTCCCGAAGAAGAGATCGGTGGATTTGACGGGATGGAGAAATTCGCGGCGTCGGCGGAGTTCACAGAGCTGAATGTTGGATTTGCGATGGACGAAGGGCAAGCAAATCCAGGAGATGAATATAGGGTTTTCTTTGCTGATCGGACTCCATGGGAACTCGTTATCCGAGCTGAAGGAATCCCAGGTCATGGAGCTAAGCTTTATGATAATGGGGCTATGGAGAATCTGATGAAAAGTGTTGAGTTGATCTCTAAGTTCAGGGAGACGCAGTTCGATTTCGTTAAAGCTGGGAAAGCTGCGAATTCAGAAGTTATATCTGTGAATCCAGTTTATCTCAAAGCAGGAACTCCTTCCAACACAGTAAGCTGATGATTTCGTTTTTCATCTTTTGATTTTGCTGTACCGTAAGAGTTTTGTGTTTGTTTTTTTTTTTGGCAGGGATTTGTGATGAATATGCAGCCTTCAGAAGCAGAAGCTGGGTATGATCTAAGGTTGCCTCCAATGGCGGATCCAGATGCTATGAAGAAGAGGATTGCTGAGGAATGGGCTCCTTCTATTAGGAACATGACCTTCACGGTAAATATTGCCCTCTAACCTCGATACTAAGTAGATGCTGTTTTTGTGTTGGTTTGGTTTCTTATAATGTTTACTAAGTAGATGCTGTTTCTGTGTCCTCCATTAATTATATGTATAACAAAATGCAGCAAGGAGGAAAAAAAGTGTCAAACATTTTGTGGTTATGCAATCTCGATTGTAAATAGTAGGCTAAGTTCCACGTGACAGGGGTTATACATAAACTGACCTGAGCCTGGTTCTGTTAATCCTAACCCTAAATGAATTGGATGAGGGCAAAAGCATGGCCTGACAGACCGAAAGAGCTCTTAATATAATACCATTGCCGATTTAAGCTATCGAGATTTTCTTGACTGGATACTTAGATCAGAGAATAGATCGTATCAAATTTCATAGCTTTTGCTTTGGTCATATGTGAAACATACGTTTGAGATGCCTCTCAGCTGAGCAACTTTGACTAGTTGGTTCAGAGTATTTGAGGTATTTCAATCTTCCACATTAGTTTCTTTACCTTGAATAATTCTATGTCTGTAGTGATTAAGAACATTTGATTTCTTTCTTTTCCAACCTCTGTTTTAGTTTCTTTGAAATAAGACAAGGATATGAGATGTTCTAAAAACCCAACCAGCAGCTACAACGTTAGGCGAAATATATGTTCTCATTTGATGATGTGACATATGTTTTTGGGTTTTGGTTTAGCGAGATTGGCTATATTTTTGTCAAGTTGATCACGTGATACATAGGAAAGTAAAGTGAACAAAGTTAAATTTACCTTTTGTTTGCAACAGATAAAAGAGAAAGGAAAGTTAAGGGACTATTTAGGACGACCTATAATGACTCCAACAAATGGTTCTAATCCATGGTGGTCTACTTTCAAGCAAGCTATTGAAGCAACAGGAGGAAAACTGGCAAAGCCTGAAATTTTGGCCTCAACTACAGATGCACGCTTTATCCGCACTTTGGGAATTCCACTTTTGGGTTTCTCACCAATGATCAATACTCCTATTTTATTGCATGATCATAATGAGGTATTAAATCATAAAATATTATCCATTGACATCTTTGAGTTATAGATTGTTAATCACAATACTGATTATAAATACTTTACTTGTGATTTCAGTTTCTTAAAGATACAGTGTTCATGAAAGGAATAGAAATATATGAATCGGTTATCAGCATTCTAAGTTCCTTTGAGGGAGTATCTGATCAAGTGATTTGAAAGTATACATCGATGCAAGCAATGACACGCTGCTTCAGATTGCTATGACAAAGTTCTGGTATACATTGCTATGACAGAGTTCTGGTATACATTGCTATGACAAAGTTCTGGTATTACCTTCATTCTGATCTTTTGCGACCCTAAGTGGTATATAAATTGTAATAATTCTCAAACCTCTAAAACGAAATGTCATTGGTGCTTTTGGAGCATGATTTCGCAAAAAAGGGTGATTTTAAGCTCTCAATGTTTTAGTTATCAAGAGTTTTTGTTCCATATACCTTAATTCCATAGGAGCTTTGATTCTTTTCGTTTTTTTTTTCTATCAGCCCTTTAAATAAACTAGAAGAAGGCTTTGATCTCTAAACAGGTAACATAGCCTTACGATCCAATAAGTCGTGCAGTTGAGAGATTAAAATTGTGAGAGAAATTAAAATTGTGAGGATGACTAAATAAGTTAACAAAGCTTTTTTAAATAAGTTGAGAAAGCCGGAGGAAGATTAAATAAGTTGAGAAAGCTTCTTTATATAAGTTACGAAAGCCGGCTAGATTATCAGAAGATCGTTACGGTCCAAAAATACTTGTTCTGATTGTCCGTTTTAAGCATTTTGGGTTTTAACGTTTTAATTTTATAGAACATTTTTTTACTATATTCTTCAAATCGGAAATCTCAAGAAAATGACAGCTTTCGACATCATTTTAAACTGTTTACGGTCTTGATTCATTTTGTTCCACAACATAAACACTATAATAAACACTATATTATATTAAGTATATGAGCAGTGCCGTGTCTACCTTTAATAGAGGTTGAGGCGAATATTAAAAAAAAAAATTGGTTTATTAGTTACATCATTTTTTTGTATAGATATAATTTTAGAAATATAATTTTAAAAATTAATGATAAATATATTAAATAAGCAGCACTTATTAACTATTGATAAAATTCTATAATTACAAGATGTTAAGTTAATAAATTTAAAAACATTACAGCAAATTTATATTTAGCAAATTTAGTGCTAATCGAACTCAGATTGGTGGGTAAGAACATTATCTACATTGCCACTTGGATACAATATTTTTTGATAATAAAATTCCCCAAAGTTATATTTATAATTTGTTTACTGGAGACAAATGCCTTTTTGATTGTACCGTAGGCACGGCTGTGTATATGAGAATACGCTATCCATTAGAACTTTAGTATAAGCCATTCCAACTACAAAATGCTAAAAAGGAAAAATGTTATAAATATTTTGGGTTTTAAGGGTTTGAATTTTTATAAAACTTTATTAGATTATATATTTTTCAAATCAGAAACGGCAAGAAAATAACGGTTTGCGATATTGGTTCAAACTGTCTACATGGTATGTTACGGTCTAGATTCTTTTTTATGTTTTCACAATAAAATACTATATTACGTTAAGTATTTAAGAATATGATATCCACTAAAAAAGCCATTCCAACAACAAAGTGTTAAAATAGGAAAAAGTGTTTCATCTTAGATTCCAACTATTTCTACAAGAATGTGGATCTAGACATATACAAGGTGAAAAAAAAATCTTCATATTCCATATAAAAAATTGTATATTTTATTTGATTTGTGAACATCATAATTATTCAGTTCCCAGCAATCAATCTTCAAAAACTTTGCACTATTTTTAGAAGGCTGCTTTTTTTTTGATAAAATATTTCTGTGATACCCAAAAAAGATAAATATTTAGTAAAATAGAAATGGACAAATATATGTACATAAATATATGTACTGATCTAATTCTTTATCAAATAGTTTTTATTCACTTTATGCATAACTAAATTGATTGTTCCTATAACACATAAAAGTATAATCATAAATATTTCCACATGCTACAAGGGAAGTTTGGTTCAACATCCAAAAAATGATGATCATCTTTCGCATCGTGTAATACGCACCCAAAAGTAACTTATGTATATGAGCATACCACATATAGTAGAATCAAAAGCTATCATAAACAATTAATACATCCTTTTTATAATTGTTCATTTTAATTAAATCATATCCTTTTTGTTTTTTCATTTCAAAACTGCTTCATTTATAATATATACATCATTGTTTTTTGCGTATTCGATCTATACATTTAATATAACAAGTTGTAAAATATTCACTTTCATTAATTAATATTTCTCAAGTTTCAATTTGACTTAATTTATTTGTTTGATATAGGTCAACATGCAAATCTTGCTTCCATATAGGCACATTAAATTTAGCCAACTCGTTTCAATGTGTTTTAAATTTTCTAGCATTTTGCATATGATCTTGATCCATTTTCTTTTTGTTTGATATCAATCTTTTAACTAAACTAGAAGCATTGGGCTTTGAATAAAACCTGTAAAACAGCCATCCAATTCAGTAAGTTAGTCAAATAGTTGAGGGAAGGAAATGTATGACAAGGATATGAGCTGTCCTAAAAACCCAACAAGTAGCTATAAAGTTAGGCAAAATATACGCTCTCATTTGATGATGTTACATATGTTTTGGTTTTTATTTAGCAAGATTGACTTTATCTATGTTAAGTTGATCATGTGTTACCGAAAAATATAAGTGAACAAAGTTAAATTTACCTTTTTTGACAACACATAAAAGAGATAGAAAAGTTAAAAGACAATTTAGGATGACCTATAATGACTCCAACAAATGGTTATAATACATGGTGATCTATCTTCAAGCAAGCTGATGAAGCAAAGAGAGGAAAACTCACAAAGCCTGAGATTTTGGCTTCAATTGCAGACAAGGCAGACTAAGTTTTATTATAGACCCTAGGATTAAGAAACATTTTGGACCCTTAAATTTGTTTTCTGTAAGTTTTAGTGAATCTTTTATTCTTTAAAAAATGTTTGTGTATAAATTTTATAGATTTGTTTTGTGAATAGATCGACGTATACATATTAAAAAAAAAAATTATTGACCTTTTTATCTTAATTATTCAAAATATTTAAATATTTAAATATTTAAATATTTTCATATAAAAAAGAAACTTTTTAAAAATTGGACCCTATAATTAATGGATCACTAGGTTGGGTGTCGTGAGGTCACATTTGGTGTCTCCTCATGTCATTAGTGCTTTTGGAGTATTATTTCCAAAAAGTGATTTTTGTGTTCTCAATGATCTTGTTTTCAAGAATTGTTATTTACATATCCTTTAGTTGTATATGGGTTTGATTCTTTTTTTTTTGTCAATCCTATAACTCAAGCGGAAAAACTCAAGAAAACTGGCTAGGTTATCTTAAGTTCACGGTCCAAAAAAAACCTTCTTTATCTTAAACAATTTATCCATTCTAATTATTTTAAGTTTTAATATATTAGAAATTTATAGAAATGTTTTAAGATTATATTTTCAAATTGAAAACCTGAGCCGACATCAGTTTATATCATATTAATAGTCTATTACCGTTTTAAAAAAATTGTTCAAACCTTTTGAGAGTACGCTATCCACTAAGAGAAGCCATTCCAACAACAAAATGCTAGAACTAGAAAAATGGTCTCACCTTAGGCTTCAACTTTGTTTGAAATGATGTGGATCCAGACATTAATAATACAACATATGATAAGAAAATTTCTGGTTCAATGTAAAAAGTTGTACATTTCATTTGATTTTTGAACATCTTAATTAGCCAGTTCCAAGCAACCAGTCTTCTAAAACTTTGAAGATTTTTTAGAAGGGTCATGTCTGAATTTATGCAGTTGTCTACCTTTGGCTTTTGTTTATTTAAAATAAAATATTTCTTTGGTAATAAAAATAGATTTGTAAAATAGAAATAGATAAATGTATGTATTGACCGAATTCACTATCAAAATAGTTTTTATTCTATTTATGCATAACTGAACTGATTATTCCCATAACACACAAAAACAGAATCATAAATATTTTCATATGCCACATCCAAAAATTGGTGATCATATATGTATTAGATTACTACATATAGTAAAACCAAAAATTATCATAAACAATTAACAATTGTATCGCTAAACACAAGATAATGTAATTCTCAAGTTTCTTATTAATCAATGTTGAATATATACACTTTGGATAATTTTATCATAACATCTTTAAAAGAACTAAAGGAATCAAAATCTTTTGACATAAAAAAATCTCCTCATCTGTAATTGGAGACTTTGCTTTCTTGGTTTTTTAATACATCTTCACAAATTCTCGACGCATCGAAAACAGCAATCAGATCATCATTAGCGCTTCTGTGATTGTGTTATTTAACATTCATTAAAGCTTTGTATAAAGACCTATTAGCATTGTTATAAAGCTTGATGCAATCAAGTAACACTGTCTTAATACCAGGTGAAGCTTTGCTTTTATTGAGAATATTTTTAGCGATTCCTTTCACGTCAATTGTGTTGGACACAACATTCATCGTTGATGCTATGATCAACCTTTTGATATTTGTTGCACTTTTCCTATGAGGATTTTATTCAAGAGACTTGATGCAAAAATCGTACTTCGTATTCTGATATTTCGCTGCTGTTTTCTTGTAAGAATCTCGAATCAGAGTTTGCGAGGTTGTGAAACAATTCAAGAGGAGAAAGAACATTACAAAGAAACAAAGAATTTCATTTATAATTTATTTTCCTTTGGAATGCATAGAAAGCAATAATCGATTTGTGAAGTAAACTTTTGATTTTGTGATTCAATTTATGAGGAAATACTCCAAAATGACTCTGAATGATAAAATAACGTGAACTGGGTACTCCATTGAGGAAAAATTGTGAAAATGACCCATTTTTATGATTTTTATAAATACCAGCGCTGTCCTTCTAACTACTGTTATTTGTAGACTAATGGTAGATTAACGACAGACTGAATGCAGACTACTGGCATACTAATGGCAGACTTGTTGGTCAAATAATTGAATGTAGACTACTGGGAGACTAATGCTAGACTAATTGCAAATTAATGGCAGACTAGTGGCATATTGAAAGCAAACTAGTGGATCTCTCTTATGGGTCATTTTAGGAAGGG